CCAACCAATATGCAGCTTTTAGCTTTCCTCTTAGTCACTGCTCAGTTGGTCACAAGAAACCTTCATTTCCCTTTCTTTTCTTAATCTAACAACTACCCTAATGGTTGGCTCCTGATGACTACAGACAGCAAAGGAAGAGCATCAGTATCACTGTACATGCGCTCTGCCCAAGGGTTTGCTCCTGGCATCACCCGTTCTTTTAAGGAGTCTTATTTTAACAGATGTTTGGTGCAAAGGACAGAATGAACAAACAGAGCACCCTCAACCTCCTGTTCGTCTCACCTCCCATTTCCTCAGCAGACCTCTTTGTTAGATTTAACTTTCGCAAGTCTTTATTTCACTTAGACCCATACACCGACCTCCTCTGGGCTCCCAGGCTCATGCCGGCGTAATCGAGCTTGCTCACTAAGGAGTCCTGCTTTCCTCTGGGAGAAATGGAGGGAAGGGAGTGCATGTGAGGGAAATGGGAAAAAAGAGAAGGAAATATTCACTTAGGGTCTTCCTCACCCAGAGCATTGGCTAGGTAGGCATTGCCACACGGGGCATCTCAATTTTTCTAAAGTGGATTTTGTTTTATTCATTTAACAGCTTTATTGAAGTATCTCTCAATTAAATTTCTCACCCACAGAGTGCATGTTAATGAGCCTCTTTTTTTAGTTAAAACTATGGTGTTCAGAGATGCTAAATAACTTCCCACCCATGCATGTCTTTTAAATAATGAAGCAGAAATTGATGCAAATCTGTTTGTCCCCAAACTGCCAGGTCCTCAGAGTCCACTGCTCAGTCACACCAAAGAGGGAAGGAGATGAGCACTGAGGGGTTACATGTGAATTGCTTCTGTGGGATAATCCCCTGGATGACAGCAGGGCTTAGGTATTTTTTCATCTTCTTCTGATCTGAAACTTTATCAAACCACGTTGTAGGGTAGATCCCTACCCTATAGCCTTTGTCCATAGTTTGTTCACTTTACTTCCTGAAAATGTTGACTGGCAACAGCAAAGATCAAATGATGTTCCATCCAGGCTGAGTGAACCCACCAGAAATGTATATCTCCTGGCTGACTTTGTCCCTAGGTACCTAGGAACATGTAGGTATGCCTCATCCAGCACTCCAGCTTGGGGTCTGTACCTGCTTTGGTGTGGTGCACATGTCCCCAGTCCCCTTCTACTAACAAGCCTCCCTAAAGCAGTTGTTGAACTTGGGAATCAGAAATAGACCAAGGAAAAAATATCTATCCCTAACAGCTGGAGAGTCCCATGTTGCTTCAGGTCACACCAGAAGCAAATGGGCATGCTGAGAGCAGGAAAAAGAAGTGGGGGCTGTCACACAGTGACAGAGGTGAGGTTGGCACTGTCCTCCCTCCTTGCAGAGAAAGTGAAACACACGCCTTGCTGGGACTGTGCCTTCTGATCCATGAGGATGTGGCCAATGAGCAAGTGTGTTCCCTGAACCTAAGGCTTACATTCCTACCCGTGCCAAATTCTTAGTTGCTCCTGGGTCCAGGACTCTGTTAAACTCTAAAGCACAAGCCTGGAGACCTTCCAGTATGTGAGATTTTTTTCTCTTGTTTCAAAACTCCACAGACAATCATGTCACCAACCACACATCACAGATATATGTGGGACAACTTCACCCCAAATGCTTTGTCAAGTTTTTGATTCACCTTCTTAATCTATAAGGATTTATTGAGCTCTTAGTTTATGTCAGGGTGCTCCTCTGGGTATCAGCTATGCATTCCTGTAAACACTGTTCCAAAGACAAGAGTTAGCCCTTAGGGAGATGAGATGTAGAAAATAATGACACAACTTATTCCTTCTGAAAGGCTGGGCTTGTGCACCAACAACTACACACAAGGCCACTGTAAGAATGAGGAACATTTTTCCTGCTTCCGCCTTTGAAATGGAGCCTAAGGAGGAGTCAAGACTAAGGCTTGGGGTAAGAAAGATATCTTCTACTTCAGACTTGGTTGTCCAGAGTGTGCAGAATCAAGCTCACTTCCCTGACTACAGGGAGAATTCGTCTGTGGCACTTGATCCCCCACGTGCACGTAAAATGGAAAGATCACTGGACAATATGCTTCACCCTTTCAGGACAACAGACCTCAGGAGTTCCATTTCTGACAATAGTTTTTAAAATCTCACATTAAAATATAATTAAGACAACCCATCAGATCAAGAGTGTAGTTTTATTCCAGATCTATTGTCTCAATAGAGACAAGCCGTTCCTCAGATAAGAGTGAATAATCAGAGCTAACTCTGTGGTCTCCTTCCTTACACCAATCCCTAACTCCTCTGTACCCACAAACTCAGTGAATACTGACAAAATCTCCAAGCTTGGAACACCATTCCCACATTAGAAAGGGGGACACTGAGGCCTATGTTTGGGTTTTAAATGTTCCCCAACAAAGTGTTTAAAGGCTTGGTCCCTGGAAGTGATACTATTGAGAGATGGTAGAACCTTTAAGAGGTGTGGCCTCACGGGAGGTGTTTAGGTCATTGGGGCTGTGACCTCATGGGAACTGTGGGACCTTGGTCCTTTCTTCTTTCTCAGTTTGCTTCCTGGCAATGAAGATGACAGTTGCTCTTGCTACACATTTCTGTTATAATAAACTCCTCATCAAAGTGCCACAAATAATGAGGCCAACAAACCATGAACTGGAACCTCAGAAATCATGAGCCAAAATAAAACTTTTCTCTGTGTAAGTTGATGGAACCCCGACTAACATGCTGAAGCACAGGAAGGTTTATTAACTCACCTAAGCTCTGACAACTAGCAGGTAGCAGAGCTTGATGAGGTTGTCAAGCACCAGAATTGACTGTCCACAAAGAAAAAAATAAGAGTGATTCATTCCCAGCTGTGGGTCCCTGACAAGATCCTCAGCTGTGCCTCAGTGCTCCAGTAGTTAGGTTAACTGCAGAGGGAGGGAGGTACCTGTGGGAAGTTCACCCTGTCTTTCTGATCTCAGAACTCAGACAGTGGCTACTGTTCCCCAAATTCACTTCTAACCCTAAGTGGGGCCAACCTTCCCTTCATATCGGAACTTGGATCTCTGATTAATAGGCATTGATTCTTTAGTGTCATACTGCTGGAAACTGGCTTCCTGTGCCCACCCTGAGGAGTAGGACCTGCTTACTGTTTACAAGGACAGCAGGGCCTTTGGCTGTTTCTGGAAGGCTGAGCTGTTTCTGGGAACAATGCTGTAAGCATATATTTTGGAATACCCAACAACAAAGCTAAGAAAAAAAAACTGTTTATAATCCTTCAATATCCACTTTGAGGGTTCTTCTTTATGTCTATTTTTCAACTGATTTTATCTGAGAAAAAAATGGTGGTGAAAGTGACAAACACACAGCAAGACTCTCCCATATCTGAAACCCTCTCCCTGCAGAGCAGGGCCATGCACTGCAAGATGATACCAGTGCCTGACCCACTTCCCCCAGATCTTTCAAGGCAGTCTCCCAGGCTTTCAGGAATCCTAACAAAACTGGGGAATTGTGCTTTAATGTTTGATCCTTTATGCTAAAAACGGCAGTTTGGCTTTTCTTCCAGGATTATAATAATCATAAAAGAAATGGTTTGCACTGGATTCTGGGTTCACACCAGTGGAATCAAAGCTGAAAGTGACCCTTCTCTACACTTCATGCCCGTGCCAAATAAACGGTGCAGTCATTATTTCTGTGACTGCTAAGATGCAATCATGTGGTTAAAGATTAGTAAAGGGAGATGCTTCCTCTAGCTTTGGAAGGAGGTATAGAATCATAGGGGTGCAATAAAAATCCCAGTGGTCTTTCTAAGGTCTTCATGTGAGCAGGGAGGTAGATAACATTGTGTTCATTCATATCTCCAAAGTATTATTGCCAACATAAGTCTTCACTGCAAGGAGAAAGAGTCAGGGCTGATGCTATGAGGACCTAATTCTTTTAAAGAAAACAAAATGAAGTCTATAAATTTCAAATAAGTGTGATGTCTGCAGATGGAATGGAGTCCCAACATGAGAGAGAACTGCTGGCCCACGGTGTTTATAGGAAGCAGGACAAACACACTGCTACTAGGTTTGTCTTCTGTGCCTTCATGAAACTTCCATCTCTCTGAATGTGTACAATAAATTGAATTAATTCTCAAAAGCTCTCAAGCTGTGACTGCTTGGGAGTGAGGATCATGTCCAAATTTTGCCATGTGACAGCAGGAATAGATTCCCACACTTAAGTTTCATAACTTTTCTCAACCTCCTCTCCTTGAGGACAGAGGACTAATTCTTCTAGACACAGGAGTGTTACAGCAGGTGTCTCTCAGCTGAGCCCCTTCACAGATGGACTAGGTCTCTTCCAAAGACAGGCTGGTCTGTTGCTGCCCACAGAAGAGCCCAGTGCCTTCCCTCCAAGTGACAGCCGTGAGAGCCAGGCCAGCAAGGGTGCCAACGGCATCTGCCAGTGAGTCTCCAGCCCTAATCCCTCTGTATGGGAGATGTGGGTCCTCAAAGCCATCCCCAAGAAGCTTCCCACTCAAAGGTCTCCTTCTCAGAGTCTGATCCTCAGAAGCCACAACCTTCCCATCTAAGACACACTGAGATCACCAAGGAGCACAGAGAAGGATGCAGAGGGCTCCACAGACAGAATTTGGGGCACTCAACTATTTGCAGGCCCAGGATCACAGTGCGGCAACTGGTGTGGCAGGTGAGGGTTTGCAAAAGAAAGTGACTCACTGTGTAGATGCTGCTAGTTACTAAGACCGAGATGAAAATAACCATGGACTGACCATCTGAAGGTCTTGTTAACAATGGTAATGATAACAATTGCCACTGGAATAACATGAATACCTTGCATACCTATACTTGGCCAACACTGCAGGCCACCTTAGAAGGCCCATGGGGAATGATTGTGTCTGGGGACAGACACAGACAGCTGCATGAGGTGGGAATCTGAGTGGCACCCAGTCCCACCATGTGAAAGACACAATGTGCATGTGGTGTTACTGTGGTGGCTAAATCTTGTCCCCAAAAATTTATGTTGAAACCCTAACCCCCAATAGCTCAGAATGTGACTCTATTTGAAGATGGTGTCTTTAAAGATGTAATAAAGGCAAAATGAAGTCACAATGTGGGTTCTAATCCTCTTTGACAAGTGTCCTTATAAGAGGAGGTGAACAGGACACTGACACATCCAGAGGGAAGACCAGGTGTGGACACGGGAAGACAGCTATGGGCAAAGCAAGGAGAGAGGCTTCCAGAGAAACCAGCCCAGCCCACTACTTTCATCTCACACTCTGACCTCCAGAACTGTGAGAAAATAAACATCCACTCTGTAAGCTGCCTGGTCTATGGTATTTGTTACAGAGGCTCTAACCAACTAACACATGCTTTGCTACCGCAGAGTGGGTGCCCTGTAACAAATACCTACAAGTGCGGGGGAAGCTTTGGAACTGGGAACTAGAGAGAAGCTGGAAGGGTTCTCAGATGCATGACTAAAAAGCCTACGTAGATTGCCTCAAAGAAACTGTTGGTAGAAATATAAATTTTAAAGGCGATTAATTTCATTATCTTAGAGAAGATAACTGTTGACATTAACAGAAATACAAATGTAAAAGTGATTTTGTTGTGGTTTGGATCTGAAATGTCCCAATAGTCCATGTGTTGCAGGCTTAGTTTCCAAGGCAGCTGTGTTCAGAGGAGGGGCCTTTCGAAGGTGACTGGGTCATGAGGGCACTGACTTCATCACTGGTCCGATCTATTGATGAATTCGTTACTTACTAGGTCATAGGGAGGTGGCGGCAGCATGGGAGTTGGGTCTCCTTAGAGTGCTGCATGGGGTTTCTGGTCTTTTCTCTCTCCACCTGCTTCCTGACTGCTATGAGGTAAGCAGCTTTGCTCTGCCACTTGCTCCTCACCATGATCTTGTCAGAACCAACCAACCAAGTGACCACTGACTGGAACCTCTGAAATCGTGAGAGTACAGCTTTCCCGCTTCTATTTTGTCACAGCAACAGAGATCCAACTAACATAGGTCTCAGTGGAGAGTGAGGAACACATTGCTAGAAACTGGAGGAAAGGTGACCCTTATGTAACAGCTGAGGACTTGGCCAAATTGTGTCCCCCCTGCTTTGTGGAGGGCAGGACTTCAAAGTGATGAACTCGGATCTATTAGCAGAGGGTGTTTCTAAACCAAGTGGTGAAGGTGCGACCTGATTCTCATTGTCTGAGCCACTCCATTTCTGGTATTTGGTAGGGCAGCCCTAGCAAACAAGCATAGTAGGAAAGTGCCTGACTGGCTGCGGAGGCACCTTTGCCCCTCTGTCAGTGATGACAAGAATCCTGTAGGTAGGGAGGAAGGGCAAAGGGAAAGCAGACCCCAACCACACCTGGGCTTGCTCTGCCTGGTCACTGAGCCCCTCACTGGACAGGTCCCATACAGCAGTACCTAGTAGGCTCCTGGGGCTGAGCTGCTCCTCTAGAACCAGACCTCTGTTGAAAAGAGGAACTCATGGAGAAAGGAGACCAGACAGGACAACTCAGCATTTCCTTAAAGAGCAAGCAGCTCCTCCCCAAGCAGCAACATGCAAAGAAGCCATGTTGCAGAAAGACCAAGAGCACATGATCTCACTCATGTGGAGGATTGGAACAAACAGGAACAGAGTGGAGGAGTGATTTCCAGGGCGACATTGGTCAAAGGGTACAAAGGTTCAGTGTGAGAAGAGGAATGAATTCAAAAGATTTATTCTGCTGCTGATCCATAGTTAACAGTCTACTGTATATGTGAAAACTTTCAAGAGATTTTAAGTATTCGCATCACAAAAATATGTGAGATGGTGCATATGTTAATGAGCTCACCTCAGCTATTCCATGATGACTGCATAAATCGCATTATGCTGTACACACCACAGATAGACACAATTTTTATTTCTCGATTAAATAAAATAGCAGCAGCCCTGGTTTCAGCTGGTGGGCAGCAACCTCCAGGGATAGCAGCATGGCCACAGGTGCCCTGCAAGTGCCTTGTCAGCAATTCAAGAGGAAGGAAGGAGTCATGTGCACGCAGGGCACATCCACCAGCCTTCTCTGGAGCTGGGTGCAGCGGGGCCCAGTGCCCCCAGGAGCTGGGATTCACACAACTTGCTAGAATTGCAAGTTAGGTGAGGCAGGGTACCAGGCACCACACAGACATGGCCTCCAGGGGCCGAGATGAGGGCTACCCCCTCCCCCACAGCACCTGCAAGCTCCCCAGCCATCGATAGCTTACCAGGGCCTGACTGGAGGAGTGAAGCTCTCACACCACAATCTCTGGCCCCCGAGCCCTTTCGGAGACGTAGGACCTGTGGGATGGGCGCTTCTGGGTCAGCTTCCTCTGAGATCCTGAAGGCTCCGCGGCTCTTCCAGAGATGTGTCCGTCAAGTCAATCACAACTAGTATTTGGTTAAGTGAATCTAAATCTCCATTAGGAAACCGAAGAAAACAGAAAGGATCCGAAACTAGTAAAACTCATCTCCACTGAATGAAAGGAAGTCTCCGTTGGAGAAAACGTGGTCAGGCAACCAGGCTCTCTGGAGGAACCTGACTGCTGGATACTCATCCTCCTTCCTCCAGAGTCCCTGGCCCCCGAGAGAGCTGGCTCTTTGCCTGAGTTCCTGCACCTCCTCCTAAGTCAGACAGGAAAAAATAACACGCAGAAAGTAGATAGGGAAATCATAACTAAAAATTGCACTTCGAGCAAGAATGTGACTTCCGGGACCCAGTCAAAGTGACCCGGGGCAATCAATGTCACCATTCTCTCTGTGACGTGTAGGCTCCTTTCATTCCACACCCTTCACACTCCAAATTCCTCAGGAATACTGAGATAAACTGGTTTAACTGAGAAAGTAAAGCACAGGAATCTGATCTTCAGACAAATGAAGGTGAGAGAATCCAAAAATGTTTAAATGACCTGTCTCTAAAACAAGAAAAGAAAACTGAGCCCATCCTCCATAGAATGCACCAGTGCCCTTCTGTGGCTGGATCACCTTTTTCCGGAGCTCCCATCTCAAAGGAAGCATAAATGATCCCAGTTCCAGGAGATGAGCACCCCTCTCTCTCCTAGGCCTGCACCCTACTTCTTCATGTACTTTTGAATTTCCGCCTAATCAAACTCTGATGCTTCCTGCAAATTCTTTCTCCACAAGGCGAGTCAGTGAGCCTGCAGACTGACTGTGGGAAAGGCAGGTGTAGGTTCCTTATCTCTGCTTTGGAAACCCTAGACCCTGTCCCAGGAAACTCCCAGGGGCTGCCCGTCTCAGCAGGAAGTCGGGCTTCATTCACCTCTGAGGGTCACCACCTTCCTTGCCCAGGATTCCCCCTTCATCTAGCCCTAGGTTACAGCAGAACTTCCTTCCTGAAAAGCAGACAGGCCATGACATAGGCTTGCAGGGCTCATCCATGTCCCTCTTGATGTGCACGCCTGTCCCCAGCCTCGCACAGGTCACCAGCCTCTGACTCCCCCAGTCCACTACACCCCTAATCCAGTCTCTGTAGCACAAGCAGACGGGTGTTACTTTCAAAGAGCCAACTAGTTCTGCTTAGAAGGCGCTTTGATTCTTTATTTACTTATTTTCCTATTTCCTGTTTACCAACTCTGTTCCTTTTCTTTCTCTATCTTTTAACTGATGCCTAAAAGCAAAAACTGTATGTGTTTATGGAATATCATGTGATGGTTCAATACCACACTGTATAATAACCCAGGTTAGCCATGTCTTCTTCGTGCAAAATTGGTCACTCTTTATGGTGAAAGCATCCCAGATCCCTCTCCTTTGTTGAAATATGTGGTACACAGTCATTATCTGTAGTCACCCTACCATGCAGTGGCACACAGACCTTCTTACTCCTGATTTTCACTCTAACTGCAACTCAGAACTGGTTGGTCAACCTTCCCTGTGCCTTCTTCCTATTTTTTTGCACTGGGTATCTCTTTCCATTGAATATCAAATAATCAAATATGAAAGGTACTAGGAATGCAGTAACAGCAACTTAGGAGGCAAGGACACACATATGTCCTTCTGATCACACTGGATAGACAGTAACAGGTGGAGGCTGGGCCACACCATACCTGTGCCAAGTGTCTTACCTCTGAAGTGCCCAGGAGTGCCACACATGGGAAACTGATGGCACAGACAATCCAAGAATCCCCTAGATCTGGGCCATCGATCAGACACAAAAGTGGGTCATTATCTCCGGCAAAATGTTAGCAAAGAGACATGCCACGAAATCTCTCTGGTGTTCCTAAAAGACAAGTCAGACTTGGGAAGATATTTTCCAGGCAGCTAACTGAGAAGGGATTAACAACCAAAGGGCAGGAAGTATCACTGCAGACTGATGTGAAAAAACTCAGTAGAAAAATGCCCAGGGGAGGAAACATGAATGGCCAGGTAGGCGTGGAGAGCCGCTCTACTCCCTGGTGATCAGGAAATCACAGTAAGCCAAGAGACCAGGCTGCTCTCTCTTTCTGGGCTGTTTGCTTTCTTAGGAAGGGCTGCTGAAGATCAAAAGGCCTTTGTGGTCCTGCGGGATGGCTCCCAGATGGTGACATCTCCAGCTTTGTGTCAAGCTGGTAGAGAAGACATTGTGGGATGTATACTTTGCTTCCCAAATCCCACCAGAGGAGAGGCGCTACTTTCTTTCATCCTTGAGGAGGCCAAGGGTGCACCATTGCTTAAACTAAGGCTTCCTTTAGTTCAACCTAGTCTCCCCATAACAATGAACTCAGCCAGCTGGAGCCTGGAGGCAGCGCCCTGAGGCCACCACTGCTCTGGGTTCCAACTTAGCTCCAGCCTTAGGTTGTACAATTCCCTCTGATGCCTCCTCCCTGTCTCTTTACCCCATCTTCCAGGCGCAGACAACTAGTAAGCATGATGCTTTATACTTCTAACCTGTACCTTCTACTTCTACCCTGCCAGGAATGCCCACTTCCTCCTCGTACCCCTGGAAAACTCTTACTTACCCTTCAAGTCCAGGTAAAAATGTTCTCTTTGTGCCTCATTCTTTTCCTGACTCCTAGTGCGGCTCCTCTGTGCTCCTATTGCACAAGAAACAGGCCCCTTCTCTACCAGCTTATCCTCAAGCTGTGCTCTGTTCCTGCCCAGGGGTGAGCTCCCAGATGGGGCTATCTCTCCACCTTTGGATCAGGACTACACCAGCCTGTGTGGAGTGAGTGAAGGACAATTGGTGTAGGTGAGAAGGGACACTGCGGGTTGTCTGCGTGGTTTTGGAAGGCCTGGGTTGGCTGCAAGGTGGTGGTGTTGGGGAAGAGAGCTGGCAGATTGCAGGGTTGAGTCCATGTGTCTGGGTTTTCATAAGAAGCACATTTATTCCCCACCTGGGAGGTCACACGGATGGCTTAACTCGGGTTTTGCAGGAAGAAAGAGAAAAGCACACAGGTGTTTTTGGCATGAGCCTTAAATTTCCCTTTCCAGGTGTTCTCCTGGGAAGCTTTTAAGCCAAAGCGCCGATCTTCTCAACACAGCCTGCAGGTTCCTGCAAAGCCCTAGCTGGAGCCTGGCCCATGATGATCATACTGCTGAGGGTTCCTGGGCTCAGACCTGGACTACAGGCAGGGGCAGCCACTGGGGGATACACTCTGTCCTCCAGTCCCCTACCTCCTCCCTTCACTTGGTGACAAAGCAGCCAGCTGCTGGTGCAGGTTGTGGATGAAGGGCAGAGGGTCTGGCTCACACAGACAGGCACCTGCACAGTTGTCCCTAACCCATGGTCATTGAGTTCCCATCAAAGGGGGTCATTCATTGCAGAGCATCCCCCGGGGGTGGTCACACTGCACAGCTGCTCTCTCAAGCCTGGCTTTGCTCAGCAGGGTATAGGAGGTGCATGGGTGGTCGACATCCTGGGGAACAGGAAACCAACAGCTAAGGGAACCCAGCAGGCACCTGAGATTCACAGTCTCAAGGAAGGTGACACATGTGATCTTCAGGGAAGGGGCCTCATCAGAGAGCAAGCATCCCAGGGCATCTGAAAAACCAGTTAACTTTTAGAAGCAGACGATGGGGAAAGTCCCGGGTCCACACTTCTGTGTGTAATTCCTGAGCTGTTCCCTGCACAACAGCCTGAGGGGTTCTACTCTCTCAGGCTGCATCAGGGTTTTACCGGGCATAGCCTGAGAATGATGAAAGGCTTTGGCCTTCTGCACATCCAGCTTTATGGAGACGGACGGTCTTCAGGATGAGCTGTTGTCATGGGGACACAGAAGTCAAGTGTTGTTAGCTGTGTTTGGAACCAAGTGACACTGACTGAGGGGGTGGGCCAGCACGGACAAGCCAAGGCCCCCTGTGACAGGCGGCCCAACTGAAGCTAGATCCCCAGGGCCCCTGGATAGGGCGGTAGGATGGAGAGGAGGTCTCCAGCTCAGAGCCCCGGGTTTGAAGGTTTCCCCATGTGTTTGTGCAGCACACGTCATGGCTCCCACCTCCCCCAGCCTCAGCCGCATGACTGCAGCACAGGGGGACATGGCCCCCTCTTGTCTTCTGCCCCAGTGAGGTCACACTGGGTCAGATGAGGGCACAGTGCTCTGTTCAGTCGCCCAGTTCTGGTTCTGCACGAATCTGTATACCTGCATGCATTGTCCCTGGTTCCCCATGCTGGTTTCCCTGCTCTCCACTCGTGCTTCCAGGGACCAGTTCCAAAGCCACTCAGGCCCTGCCTTGGAGGGAGCCCGGACCAAGAATTTGACCCTGTGAAGAGCAGGGCCTCCGAGGGGAGGGGATGGCCTAAGCACTGACCACACTGCGGACAACGCCTTCTGCACTGAGCACTGGTACAGCCTGTGTCTTGAGGTTCCCCTGAAGCCTCGCGCGGTCTTAGGTGGGCCTTTTCTGGAACTGATTCATGGTGGAATGCTAGGTTCAAGAGAACTAGGATTGAGGGTGTGAGTGCTGCCCACCCTGCATAGCCTGAATAAGATAAAAGGGACAGGGAGATGCTGTTGAGGGCTGCTCCCCCTTCCCTTGTGGCCTTTGCTGTCTTCCGCTGCCAGGAACTGTTGCCCCTCTGCCAACTTGCCCTGGAGCCAGCTGGTTACTGACTGAAATGTCTTCTAACTATGAGCCAAATAAACCTTTCTCCCTTTAATTTGGGTGTCAGGTATTTTGTCTCAGTAATGAGAGAAGAGTAACTAAGACAAGCACTTATGAACTTTCTTGCCAGCTTCCTGCTCCCCTCCAGCCACACACTCCAGCTGTAATAATCACTCAGAGTACACAGGGAGTTTAAGCTCAGAGCCCCAAGTGTACCAAAATCTGAGAACTGTTAAATCCCTGTATAAAGTGGCATGGTATTTGCACAGAATCTACACACATCCTCTTAACTACTTTAAATCATTCATCTCTGGAGTCCTTCTAATCCCTCTCATTGAACTGAACTCGTGATAGGAAACAATGCAGTACCTGCATAGAGGGGGCAAAGGATGTAAACATGTCAGCATTGTGATGTCACATTCAGCTCCTGCATAAGGGCTGGTGAGCACAAGCGTGGTTACCCCTAGACAGCAGATCTGATAACCAAGATGATTGCTCACTTCCGTTTCCATCATGGGAACAAAATACCTGACACTCACAACTAAAAGGAAGTGAAGGTTATTTTGGCTCACAGTTTCAGCCCATGGTTGACTGGCTCCAAGACGGAAACAGGGTGGCAAGGAACATGGCAAGGAAAGAGGTACTTACCCAAGGCAGCCAGAAAGCAGAGACAAGAAGAGCTGGGAACAAGAATGGAGAAGAATACACTTTTACAGGTCATTCCTCATCGGTCCCTTACAACCAGTTCTTACCTCCTAACAGCGCATTTAGCTATGATTCATCAATGAAGGCATCTATTGGTGAGAATAGCACCACCATGATCCAATTACCCTCCAAACACGTGAAGCTTTGGGGTACATTTTTATTTAAACCATAACAACTGCTAAGTGATTAACGGATGAGTAGTGTATATGATGTGGATACACTGGACAAAGGGATCACTGCCCCTCCCCCAGGCAGGCTGGACCAGGATGGCTTAAGATTTCTTGTTGCTCAGAATAATATAAAATTTGAAACTTATTTATGAATTGCTTGTTTGTAAAATTTTTCATTTAAAGTTTTAGGACCACGGTTGACTGCAGGCAACTGAAACCTCAGAAAGTGAAATCTCAGAGAAGGGAAATGGAGGAATTGCAGTTTCAAATGAAGTTAAATTTTGATCACCTGTATTTCACTTGAAAGACAACTTCCATCGGGAATTGCTGTGGTTGGTGCAGTAACAGCAGCAGACTGGGTCTAAGTCACTGTTGGAAAAGAGTCATCCTGGAACCCACTGGACTATGATGTAACCGCAGGATAAACTGTTGTGAGGTTCAGCCTTAATAGCAGCCATTGTCCATTTACTTAACTTCCCAGGTTAAAAGAATCTCCCTTTGGAACTGCCTTTGAAATATGTTTGGGATCTGTTCAGTGCTCCCCAACCATGTCCTTTGAATACCGATGAATTGATTCAAGTTGCTTAAACAGGTATATATGTTAAGCACCTAGTACATTCACAATACAGTAGTAGGAGCTGGGAAAGGTCTCCCTGACCTCACAATTTCACTCACACAATGGAACTTCTGCATCCCTCAGTCCCTCTACAGCCAGGGGAGGGGGGAGGTATGACCTAGGAAGAGTATGTGAGTGTTAAGTCAAAGCTGTTTCCTTGGAAACTACTGTATTCCAGAGTAACTGCCATTCTGGCCACCAGTCACATGCCAGATCCACAGCCACCCAAATAACAATGTTGAGCTGTCCATTCTCAGCTCCCAACTTTGAGCTGTGATGAGCCTTCCCGACAGCCCATTTGGCCTGTAGTGGAAGGAGCCAGGCTCAGGACTTGGTGTCCCGAGGTGATGCATGCCCAGGCTAAGCTGTGGGGTTGTTCAGCTGTCGGCGTCTCTTAGTAAAACAATGAGCCATTTTTGTGCCTCTATTTCCCCAGACAGACCCAAAGAGGAGCCAGGACAGCATTATACTACAGCCTGCAGTTGTGCGGGATAACATGGCGTACCTGGCAGAGAGCTTGGGACTCAGAACTTTGCTGGCAGTGAATAAATCAAGGTGAACATTGATGGTGGCAGGGTTCCCACTGTACTCACCCAACTGGATTTTTAAAATTTTCCCCCAAAGGCACATTTGCTAAGGTGTGAGGATCAAACTAATGAATAAATGGGGGGATATGGAGACTGCCCCACTGGAATAAACACAGCAGTTCACCTAAATAAAACTACCTGGGGGTAAAGACTAAAGCCCTAGCTGGCCAGACACTGCCTAGCCCTGGCCACCACATTCACTGGCTGAGCTTTAGTGTACTCGCCTGGCTCAGTCAAGTCCACAGCAGGGCATAGTCTGATCTATAGTCTTACTTTATATTCTATATTTCTACTCTGGGCACCATTCACAAAGTCCATGGCCCTACCCTTTCCTTTGAGGTAGGCTGAGATTTCCTGAGTTCCATTTCATCAGCCATGTACCACGTAAGGGCGATTTGGCCAATAATGGACAAACCACATGATAGTGGACCCATACAGTTACAATGGACCTGAAGATTCCCCACTGCCTAGTGACACCGTAGCCCTTGTGATGTCACAGTGTTTGTTGGGATTCCGGTGTAAGCAGACCTACTGCCCTACTCCATATGAAGATATAGCATGCACAACTCTGTAGAGAACACAGTGCTACATAATAATAATTATTATATCCATCAACTTTCCATTGATGGCACAAAATACCTGACACACACAACTTAAAGTAGGAGAGGTTTATTTTGGTTCATGGTTTCAGAAGTTTCGGTCCATGGTTGCCTAGCTTTAAGAAAGAAAGAAATACCCTAGTACAAGGGTGTGTGAGATTGAGCTGCACATGCCATGGAGGCCAGGAAGCACACTAAAGTTCCCAAAATAGAGATGGGGCTGGGGACAGGAAAAACCCTTCAAAGCCCACCCCCAGTGACCTACTTCCTCCAACCCATAATACCACCTTCACCTATAAACTTCTCATCAGATCTGTCTATGATGCAGCCAGTGCCCCATGATCTGTCACCTCCCAGAAGCCCCACTCCTGAGCTCATGAGCCTTTTAGGGGACCTTTTTATCTAAACCATAACAGTAATCAATGACTATGATACTGGTTTGTATATTTACTACACTACCATTATTATTTACTACACTACGTATTAAGAAAGCCCGTTTACTGTAAGACAGTCTGCCCTGTGCCATGGCAGAAGCTTCATACACCCTGCACTTAAGAGTCTCTGGACTGCACAAAGGGGTCACGTGAGTGATTGGCCATTCAGGTGGCACAATGCCCTCTAGGATGTTCACTCAGTGACAAAACCCAGCTTCTTGGAATGGATCTCCATGGTTAAGCAGTGCATAATTATATGCTGAATGGGATTGTTTCCAAGATAGCTTCCATCTCAAGCTCGCTAAAATTGCAGTCCTGAAGCCCACATCTTCACTGTCACCTATCACTATTACAGTCAGCCCTTTGGTAGTTGTCTTTATTTCCATCTCACACAAAAGGAAACCGTGGCACAGAGAGGTTCAGTAGCTTTCATTTGGGCCACACAATGTGTAAATAGCAGAGCCATAGTTCAAACCTGCCCAGCTCCAGGATTACAGTATTCACTATTAGGTTGGATACTCACGGCAGTGGTTAAACTCTTGTCATTTTGTTGGACTAAACGATTTCTAGAGACTGTTAAAGCCTGTTCTGGGTGCTTCTATGAGAATATTCCAGGAGCAATCAGCATTTGAATTGCTGGACCAAGGCAAGCTGATCTCCCTCAGCAGCATGGCTGAGCACCATCCTGTCAGTCAAGGGCCCAGACAAAATAAAAAGGCCGAAGAAGGGAGGAATTGTCCCTTGCTACCTGACTGGTGGAGCCGGGGCTTGAGCCTTCTCCTGACTCGGGACCTAGAGTAGAATTTATATCATCACCTCCCATAGCCAGAGCTCAGGTTCCACTGACTTTCCTGGATCCCCACCTTACAAAGAACACATTGTGAGTGACTCCTCAGCTCCATAATTGCATGAGCCAGTGCCACATGATGAGTGTCTCCAGAGCTCTGTGCATATCCCACTGTTCTGTTTCCCTGGAGAATCCGATATGCTACCTCTTGGCAAAAATGTCACCCTGGTGGTCCTTCCTTCCTCCCTTTCTATAACAATGATGGTGGAATTAGAAGTCTGAGCAACAGCATATTCATTTATCCACCCGCCCAGGTGACATTCATTGTCTATTGCATTCAAAATAAATTTCACATATGCTCACTATTTGTATTAGTGAACTTCTGAGTTAAGATTTACAGAATTTTGAAACCAGTTTTCACTAAATCAGGGGGAAAAAACTATTTAAACAGGTGAGAAGAAAAAGGAGGGAAAAGCTCCCAACCATAATAAGGAGGGAAGAGTACAACAACCACATAAAAACCATTTCAAGCCAGAATCTAAGAAAAAAAAAAAAAGCCGGGATTCCAGAATGAGGCACAGCTGGGTCTTCAGTCAACCTTTGGGTCCCTGGCAGCCACACTGATGGGTGTAAGAAGAGCCTGCTCTCCTCCTCTTCTGGCCCAAAGAGCAGTGGAGTCATCTGTGAGGGGGAAATGATGAGGGATGGTGCATGCAGAGAGGTCCCTGTGGTTGACAGAGCCTAAGGGGAGCATCAGATGTGTCCCTGAGAGATGGGACATGCCCTTCAGCTAGGACAAGGGGGTCCTGCTGCTGGATGGTTAATAAAAGCTCCTTTTGTGAAAGGGAGTCCAGAAGGTCCAGCAAATATACCAGATCATGTGGACTAATTCCTTCACTCTGTCCATGCAGTTGTGTCAGACAGGACAGTAGGAAACAGGCTCACAGAGGAAGACAGAGGCAGGGGATGTCGGGTTGCCCTTCCAGTTGAAGGCAAGCAGAACACCTGGAGAGAGCTACTCAGGCCGGTGTGAGGTGAAAAGGAGACCTGAGCAGCTATGTGAAAGCACAGCACAAAGAAAGGGAAGAAGAGGAGGAGGGAGGATGGGAGGGATTCACTGGGAGGCCAGAGAAGTAGGCGATGCACAATGAATCTGTTGAAATGGGCAACATGTGTGGTGCACCGGTGAGAATTACGATCGCCCAACAGGCTGAGTAATGCAAGCCTGCACAATGCGAACATTGTTGTATTTTTTTTTCATAAGATTGCCTAAACACAGTACCACGAACTGGGTGGCTTTGAACAACTGGGATTTATTTCCTTTGTGGTTCTGGAGGCAGGAAGCCTGAGATCAAGGCGCTGACAGGGTTGGGTACCCTGAAGGACCCCAAGGAAAGTTTCAGCCTCTCTCCCAGGTCCGGCAGCTGCCAGCCACGCTTGGCTCTCCTCGACTTGTCCGTGCTGCTCTTTGACCTCTGCTTCTGTCTTCTTGTGATTTTCTTTCCTCTCAGTGCCTGTATCCTGCTTTTTATGAAAACAACAGTCACTAGTTTAGGGTCCATGCTTTCATGACTGGAGTACTTCTACAAAGACGCTTTTTCTGAATCAGGACACATCCACAGGCACTCAGCAGTCAGAACTCGAGCATGACTTTTAGAGGGGACTCCGATCAACCTGCAATAAGGACTTAGGAGATTGGAAAGGAAAAGCAAGAGAAGTGGAGATGGTATAAGAATGCCAGTGCCCTGGTCTTCTTTGGAAGGAGACAGGTGATACTCTGAAATTGAGAAGACAGCAGATGCATATCGGTGTTTGTGCACATATAAAAATCCCAATCTGTTAATATTATCTCTGATCTCTTTTCTTTTCCTCAACAGAAAAATCCCCTTTGTGGCAAGGAAATATTTCTTTAAGGTTTCATGATTCCAAATTCTTTTTGAAATGTAAGGGTTTTTATTTTTACCAACTACTCACAAGCTTGTTCAGTTAAGCAACAGCAATACAGATTTCCTCCTGACAACCATCAAAATCATCAGAAAGTTGAAGGAGAGGAAAATATATACATGGCACACCTCAGAGCTGGTCAGACTGGAAGCTCCAGTGCTGGCAGCAGGCCAGATGCGGAGTTGCTGCTTCCTAGATGTTTGTTAAATTGGATTATTGGCCTGCTAACTATGCAGCGCGTAACAGACAATGTAGAACAAGAACAGTGCAGACACGGCCATGCCTGTCATCCAGGACCCTGCACCTGGAGCCTAGTATTCAAGGACTGCATTTTTCATTTCTCCTGCACACCCACCATCTCACTCTGGAAGATTAATTCCAGATGAGGCCCAGGGGGAGAAGACAGAGCCCTCCTCAGATGACCCGGCCCTGTGCGGAAGAGTACCATGAATCCTGTCCTCCCCTGGAAAATCCCATTCTCAGCAGCAGCAAAGGAATCTCATCCTTGCAAAAGGGGACCTGCTGGGAGAAGCTATGGATGCTCTCTGTCAGCTCCCCTTCCCTGCAGGGGTCACAAACACAGTCCTGCTCAGAAATAAACAAATACGGCCACTGGATATCCATGGCCCACCATGGGCTTGACACCTCCCTAGCCTCCTGCCCCTCCCATGCCTGTTCACCTCTGGCCTCTTTGGAAGGGAGCAGCAGTGACTCAGGCTTTAGTAAAGAAAGGACAGAGTGCTGCAGTCCCAGTTGAAGCCTCTCCCCTCTGCCCCTCATCCATCTGTTGTGCGTGCCACTCCCTGCCCTGAGCCCTCCCTGTAGCCACGTGCAATCAATACTCCACTCAGTCTTGGATTCGGATGCCAGCCCTGTTTACCATCCTCTGCTGACTCATCCGTGGAGCCCGTCTCGGACCAGAAAGAGGACACAGTGGACTCCAGCTGAAGCTCAGCCCTTTTCCTGTTGCTGCTTCTCTGAATGCCATTTGGGTCCCTCTGTGCCCTGTCACACTGGGAGTCCCGGAGAGGGACTTGGGGGCTTGCAGGCCCATGAGGAAAGGAGCACAGGGTGGCAGAGTCCCCTGTGAGTATCAAGAAGAAATCACTACAGAGTCAGGTCTAGAGCCAATAAGGGCACCAAAATAGCCACCACCCAGGATGCGGTCTTCGAGTCCAGGTTCGGCTCCTGGATTCCCTAATTCTGCAACCTGACTAGGAAAAACACATATAGATTCTTTCCATCTGTCTGACAAGGGACAGAGGTTTAGAGCTGGCTGGAACCACACTGCTCCCAGAGACCCCTGTGGTAGCCCCAGCCAGGAAGTGCTGGCACTCTAGGAAGTGAGGCCAATGGGGTCCTTGAAGAGTGACCCGATCTCCCCCATTTCCTCCTGCTCTTCACCTCCCAGCCTTAAACTGAGCCGTTTTGCACGCCGGCACAGTCCCACTATTATGTGCAGCCTGGCCAGAGGCTCAGAGGAACGGAGGTCACTGATCCTGAGTTGAAATCTCCATCCTGCGAACCACCATAAGCCTTGTCTCTTCCTAAGCTGATTATCTCAAGGGTGTATGTGTTACAGTAGCAGATCTGTGCCTTCAACTTCTCTAAGGAGGAGGCCGATGGATGCTGGAGGTGGGCTTTGGCCCCACTGGAGTCAGCAGGCTGGGCTGGGATCCAGGGTCCCTCTCCAGGGTTGTTTTCTCACCTCCTTACAGTACAACCTGTTAGTGTGCGGCCATGTGAACTTGCTGTGTTACCTTGGCATCTGAGAGCAAGTTCAGAACTGAAAGCCCATTTCCGTGCAGCGGGGAAGGAAGATGGTACCATGGCCAGGCTCTCTGGGGAAGGGAAGGGGTGGTGGGGGATATATCAGCACGGAGTTTCCCTGCTGCACAGTTCCCCAGGGACCACAGATTATGAGACTGTCCCAAGGCCTTTCCATTACAGCTCAGTGGCAGAGGACAGAGAAAAGGGGCCTCACAGGGGGAGATTTCCTAGCATCACAGAAAGGACTTGAGAGGCTCTGGTTCTGCACTTCTGGAAATCCTTGTGGAATGGCAGCACTTGCTTAACGCCTGCTACTCTGCTGCCCTGGGTGGCGATGAAAGAATGGGTGATGTGGCAGAGAGGAGGGACGTGGTGAGCAGCGAGTGGGGGTGATGTTTAGGTGGGGATCTTTTCTGGCCAGGTCTGCGGTGTGCTGTGAAGCTGTAGCAACAACCAGCCTAGTCAGTGCAGTTTGGGGTTTCAGACAATGATGCCCACAAATTCCGGGGAGAAAGCAGGGTCCATCCAGGCCTGCCAAGCAAACTGCTACAGCAGGGTGGGGAACCCCAGGGCTCACTAAGGGAGAAGGTGGGGGGCCATTTTCATGAGCCCTTAGGCAGAGAGTAAAAATTCGAGATGAAGGCGAAGAGATGTCTGGGGCTCTTCCTTGAAGACTGAAATCACAAGGCTGTGCCTGTCAGAGTTGCGCATCCCCAGCGGCCATCTGTGAGATCCTGCAGTCAGGAGGAAACCCTGCTCTGCCAGCCCCTGGCAGCTCCAAGTGAAAGGGGCTCTTCTCCACCATCAGTACTTCCATCTGGGACCTGTGATGGCTTAGACATCCCTTGGCATTGTTCTAGTCATTCCCAAGGACCCCAGAAGAGGGTTGCTGATTATTACAGTGGTGCAGCACATCTGTGTGTGTGCATAGCACCCACGTGTGCATTGAGGGGAGGGGAGGGAAGCTCTCACACAATCAGAAGACAGCGAGCCGATCGACCACTTATGTAGGTGGAGAGTATCAATTACAAATTCTCAGCCTGTTTTCACAAGTCCAGTTGAGTTTAGAAACCCTGAACCTCACACCAGGAAAGCAATTTCAAACGCTAATGCCAGAAATGTTAAAATAGATGCCAGTCCCACCCCTATGCACACCCTCTCTGCAGACACTTTCTTCCTGTCCCTAGGCCAGACCTGTGCCAGCAGAGCCTGGCCCTCTTGCCTCCCTGCTGTGACAGACACCTGGCTCCTTCGCAATCACAGGTCCCAACCCCTACTCCAGGCTCCTGGACCCAAAGAGGTCTCCAGACTCCCCCTTGCCCAGGCCCTGGGGACACTGAGTTTGGGGCTGCAGAGTAATGGACCTGCCCAGCATCCGAGGCTGTGTGGTGGGCCTTGCTTCCTGTACGTCCTCTCCCACTCAGTGCATTGGAAGCTGGTCCTGGGATCCTCGGCCAGGCCTCCTTGCATTGCCACAGCCAGCCTCGAACACTGAGCCCTGCTCCCTCCCAGGCCCACAGCCATCTGGCTCTTCCTTTCCCCACAGTGGCTCCCTGCCCAGGCCATCAACGAGCTGTCTTTGGATCTGAACCCTGTGTCCCTGGTGCACTAGCCACCCTGGGACCCCTCTCCTCTTCCTCCTCCTCTTCCTTTTCCCTCTCCTCCAAGGAGCCACAGCCTCCCTGGGGGGCTCCTGTGAGACCCGTCCCTGGCAAAGACCCCAGCCCCTCCTCCTTGGCACATGTTATAACACAATTATAATTCCATATATTAATATCATGATACACAAATGTGCTCTACTAAGATATGCTAACTTAGTTATATACTTACTACATAAAGTTTGATAACCTTTACTCCATATTAATAAAGAAATTATTTGACAGTATATTAATATATCATGTATTTTATAGTATTAGAATTACACATAATACACTGATATATCACACACATATTTCATGTAATATATCGCAATGCCATACTGTTATTCACTACTAAATAACATAACATCTACAGTAGTATTCAGTGGTGGGAGTACCCGTGTGTATGCACCACCTCACAGACGTTCCTGCTCTAGGCCACCTACTCTTCTGTACACTTAGCATGCAGTGTCATTGAATGTTTTATCTCACTGTCTTCCAAACACTTTGCATAATCTCATTTCTTTTTCAGAATGGCTCCATGATGCTTTTATCGCCCTGTCACTCCAAGCCCGGACACCAGTGCCCCTTCCTTGGAGCTCCAGTTAAAAGTCACCTCCTCACCCCTACTGTTCAGCTGGTGGGGCCCATCCTTCCCAGCACTTCCTTTGACTTTCTTCCTTTGTCTTCCTTTGTCTGCCTTCTCTCATATCTGCTAGGACACAATGGCTGAGCCCCTGTCTCGTAAGAAGATTGTCAGAGGTCGGAGCAGGCTTGGTTCCTTTCATTCACAGCCCCAGACATGGTCAGAGCCTTTCAAATCATATTACCCACATCTCCCAAGAGCAAGCTCGACCTAGTCTTGGGAACTGGCATCCACACAGATGGGTGTTTCATAAATTCGGTAACTGTTCTCTGCTGCAGAATCAGCCTGGCCACATCCTTGGCATATTCGTTAGATCCATTAGCTGGATGTGACTTATCCTGTTCACCTGCTCAGGATGGACAAATCGCAGGCTCTCACGAGACTGGGCTGATGAGTGGCAAGTACGCAAGTGGCTGGCTTCTGAATTGAAGGCCCCTATTCTCTGACTCGCAGAGGAAGGATGGATCGTGGCCCGAGACAGCTGCCCAGCTGTGACCTGTCAAGTGCCAGCCTTGGAGAATCTCCTCTGCTCCACCTTCCGGGTCTCCCTCGGGCCACCAGGAGAGAGGGGTGGGAAATGTTCTGCTCCTGCATCACCTCCTCCTCGAAAGACATGTAGGTGCCACATGGAGGCCCTTGAAGTTTCTAGTCACCCTGCAGAGGTCCCAGCTACAAACCTATTATTTCTTGCTAGGAAACAGGTGTAACCTCAAGAAGGCTACCTTCGTTATGAGCCATACCTCTACTTGCTATTTAGAGCAAAAGTTGAGGGCTGCTCCAGCTCTGCTCCTTTCCCCCTGCAGCCTAGGCACAAACTCAATACCACTTTCCCAAGCAAGTCCTCTCAGGCCCCTGATTCACAGATGTTGACCAGACAATGAGAACCCATGGCTACCGTGGATGTGTATTCCTTAGAAGGCATTGCCACTGACCTATTAGGTGGGAAAGGTTTGCTCTCCGGAGGGAATTCCAGAGATTCTTTCCAACCTCAGATAAGTCTCCCAAGCCAAGCTCTGGGAGATTAATTTCTCTCTTCCTGATTACAGCTCTAGGGCTGAGTGAGAGGTCATCTTAGGTCAGGCTCCCCAGAAACAGGCCCTGAGGCCAGGGCTTGTGAGCAAATGATATTTACAGGCAGTCTCCTAGAGGAAGTAGTTCAGGGGTGACAGCACTGCTGGAAAAGGGAAGCTCCCAAGCTAAGCGGCAAAGGGGAACTTCAGCCCCATCTGCTGAGGAATTCAGAGTCAAAATTACACCTCTTAGTGTGTGTCCTGTGTCAAAGTAAAGGACCCAACCCCGACTTTCAGAGTCCTTCGCCAGTTAGTCACTACTCAGGGCCACAGCCAAGGGAACAGACTCCCAGATACTTAAGGAATTCTGCAAACAAGAGCAGATTGGCTCTTGCCACCTAAGGGCCATTGAGGCATAAATGCTGGCCATCAGAAGCAAAGCACAATGATGCGAGGGCATGGGGACTGTCTTAGTGTATTTTCTGTTGCTATAGCAAGACACCTGAGACTATGTAATTTATATAGACAAGAAGTTCATGGCAAGGGCCATGTGATGCTTCAGTTCATGGTGGAAAAACAGAAAAGTCAGTGAGTACCAACGAGAGGGGCACACATGTGCATAAGAGGTGCCTGGCTGTATAACAACCCAAGTTAAAGGTAATTATTCCAATCTTGAGAGAACTAACCCAGCCTCTCCAGAAAGATGTTAATCTACTCAGGCAGTGGTGCCCCATGACCCAACTGCCCCTCAAAGATCCCACCACCTCCGGGACTGTTGCACTGGGATTCAAATTTCCACATGAGTTTTGGAAGAGACAAATCTGATTCAAACCTTGGCAGGTACACAAGCCCGAGAAGATAGAGCCATGCACCAGGCCCCGCTGGAGTGCCAACGAGCACTCCGAAGTGTGCTGATTCAGGGCAGTCGCTGCCCAGCTGGGCCACTTCCTAATCTGGCTCAGCCAGGAATTGAAGATCAATAAACTAGTAGAACCCTGGCATCATTAGCTAACAGAGCGAGCCTCTCTACTCTCTCTCCGTCTCTCTGTCTCTCTGTCTGTCTGTCTCACACACACACACATCACAGAGTAACACAACACAACAGAAAAGTGGTCAGGAAATGTGGGGCCCCGCTCATCAACAGCTGGAGTCTGCTCGCTTGGGCAGGAGGCCCCTTCCTCTCCTCACCCTCGGAGTCCTGGCTCATCCTACAGCCTTGTTGCCTTCGTGCACCTTCCAGTACCCGCCCACCTGCATGGCTCTATGGTTATTTGAATACCAGCATCTGTTTCCTTTTGTCAGAGATCCATACCTTCCTCCTCAGCCCCAGCATTTATTTGTGAACACTTTGCTGATACATGCGTGGTGCATGAGCATGCCCTTCTCCCAGGCTCCTGGGTTTCCCGCCGCTCAGGAGACCAGCTCCCCAATCAGTCCATAGCCATCTGTTCCTAGGAGTGCTTCTCACAATTTGATAGTGGCTGGAAGCCTTACATCCTCCTGGAGGCCACCTCCCCATCCACCCTCAATGTGCACTTGAGCACTGCGCATGGCGGGAACAGCACTGTCTGCCTCTTTCCAGGGAGGGACAGGTCACGTTCCATGTGCGTCAGATGAAAACACTCAAAGTTCTTCCATGCAAGATGGCGCTGAGTGAGTAATGGCACCTGCTGGTGCACTCTGAGCAGCTGTCCACATGGGGCTGGGGGTGGTAGCTGCAGCTGTTGCTGTGATGGTGAGGATGGACCCAAGAAGAGCTTTGGAGAGACCCCCTTTGACATCAGACCAAACATCATCCTCTGGTCATTGACCCTAGGAAAACCCAAGGCCTAGAAGCAAGCTCTGCTCCATCCTGTGCTTTCTGTGTCTTTTCTCAACCTGTGGTAAAAGTCCCATAAAGACTGACTGGTCCTGCTGCAAATGGAAGGAGTGTGTGTGTGTGTGTGTGTGTGTGTGTGTGTGTGTACACACATGCCTGTGTGTCTTAACCAAAGTGGTGAGGAGTAACTATTGGGAGTGAAAATAAGATTAACTGATAGGGATTAATGGATTTATTTCCTTCTGAGTTCCTAAATAATGTGTTAAAGGGCAGAATCAAGCATAATTGGCTAAAAGCAAGAAGTTCATTGCTGTTAACATTTTCTTCTCCCTGTCTACTCATACAAACAAATTTAACTTCTTCACGTTTGAATAATTTTAAATTTATAAAAGTTGCAAGAATATTACCAAGACTTTCTACATTCTTCACCTAGATCATCAATTTTTAACATTTTACTGCATATACTTTATATATATTATGCTTTTCCAGAACAATTTGAAAGTTAATAGAAGGCACCATGCCCCTCACTCCTAAATATTTCAGCAGGAATATTTTAAGAACAAAAATATTCTCTTATGTAACCTCAGTACAGTGGTCAAATGCAGGTAATTTGATAGTGATACGATGTCATGATTTAATCTATGGTGCTTCTTCAATTTTTTTTCAATTGCCCCATTACTGTCCCCTACGGATGTTTTTACCTCTTCCAGGATCCAAACAGCACTGCACTGCATAAAGCTGTCGTGTTCTCGTGTCTCTGAATCTACAATAGGCCCTTGATTTTCCATTGTCCTTAAAGACACTGATAGTTTTTTAAGAGTTCCTTTTGCTGAAAAAGTCCCTGATTTGATTTTTATCGCCTCCTCCTGTGATCAGACTTCAGCTTCCCCTCCTGGTGAGGACCCTGGGAGAGATGTGACGCCCCTGCTGGCGTGTCCCACCCCCCGTGAGGCACCCAGAGCCACTCAGTCTCTGTTACTTCCAAGGATACTTTTTTTCTGTCACAAGGTGAGGTTTACTAAATTTATTTGCAAATCATTGTTTTACAGAAGAAGTCAATCATATTCTAAATAAATTTATAAATTTAACACAGTCTTCTAATATTTCCTAACAAGTTTCCTGCCTTCTGAAGTAGACAAGCAGATGCGTTCACAATAAACAAGCAATCACAGACCGAGCAAATTCTAAAATAAGAGAAAAATGAATGCAATTGGCCTGCCCAGTTGTTAAAACTCATCATAAGGCCCTAGTGATTATTGCAGAGTGGCACATGAGTAGATAGTCCAGTGAAACAGAACAAAAAGTCCAGAATGTATCCAAATGGACATGCGTATATCAATATATGATAAACATTAATTATCAGCAAAGACAAACTTGTGATAACACTGGGACAAGGAGATGGCCATTGTAGACAAAAAGTAAAGTTGGAATAATATTTCACATTGTGCATCAAACTACACACTCATAGATTAAAGTTTTAAATGCAAACAAGTGAAATGATACAAGCACTATCTGAAAGCATGGATCCAATGTCTTCACCCAGCAGTACTCAGACCCTCCCTCTTCTTTCATGCCCTGCAAGGCTGTGAAAGAGCCATCATCACAAGACATGGGGGAAAATAGAACAATGAAGACAGGCATTTATTTCCCTGTGGTCTTCCTGCAGGTGATGGTTTCTGCTGATAGACTTGGTGTTGAACTCTCACCAGCCTGGTCTACACAACTGTCTCCTTCAGGCTGCTGTAACTGTTGTTAGTTGCTGCTAGGTCCTGATTCCTGTACAGCCCTAAAACTTGCCCACACCTTGTAAAATCCTTTATAGGATTTGTCTAATGAGTTTCCTTCTGCTTAAACCCCTCTTGAATTGTCCTAAGTTGATTCCCACTGGAACTCTGATTGGCAGAGTAACCTTGAAGTCAAATGGCATATCAAACTCTGTCTCAAGATCTAAAAGTCAAAAATAAAATAGATTTTAAAAGTCTAGCTAGGAAACAAACCAAAGCACAACACGAAGAAAAAAGACAAAAGCTGGGAGAAGTATTTGTAGCTCATGACACGGAAAAGTGCTTTTGTCCAACGTATATGAAGAGCTCCCAGAGATGAAAAATAGAAAGACCACAAGATCAATAGAAAAATGGACAAAAGGTCATGAACAGTTGAGAGAATAAGAAACATAAATGGTCCAAAATACTTGCAAGCATTCATAATCAAAGACATAAAATATTTAAACTATGCTAGGATACAATTTTCCCTTGAGCTGATTGGTAAAATTCCAAAAGTTTGACAAAATGCTTTGTTGGCTAGGTGCCAGGCAAGCTGGCACCGTCATCCTTTCTCAGTGGGACTGCAAAA